GAGTGGGTGGGAAATTGATGGAAGAAAAAAGTACAGCCGATCAGTTCTTTTCTAAAGGGTTTATAAAAGAAAAGGCACCGCTTCCCAGTGAGGAGAGGCAGATATATCGAGATAATTTAGTTAGTCTATTTAAAGTGCATTTTGTTTGTTTTCATGTATATTCGCATGTATCATCTTTTATTTATGTTATTATGTTATGTGATTGGTTTGATTGATTGGTTTAGGTCAGGGGAGGTCAAACTCACGACATCATGGCAGCGTTACATGATGTATCGGGACTTTTTTCCCCTTTGCTAAACCGGGCGGGGCCGGGGCCACCACGTGATGCATCCAGCCCACAAGCCATGAGTGTGACACGCCTGGTTTAGCTCTTTGTTAGAAGTGTATCCTATCTTTCATTCCTTTCAAATTGTATTCCCTCACAAGAACAAAGTAATTTGGGTTGTAGGGGGTGTGCATAAGCGCACCAATCGTGCCTACCGTCCCTGCCCTATTGTTTCTTTTTATTTTTCTTATAGGTATCTTATCTCATGTATTCAAAACTATGTTTATTCTTATACCTGTATCTTGTAAGCGATTGACAAATCAAATAAATACTAAATATACAGAGGGATAGAAATAAAATCACCCAGAGAGCTTCCATGGTTAAGGAAGATATGAAACTGGTTCTCCTTAATCCTAATGCAATGCTTTAACTACCATGTCACATTGGCTCTATGAAGAGCATTCCAATGAATATTTATCTTGACCACTGAATTGCTAATTTAGGGCTAACTTCTTGGAAACCACCTCCCCCCCACCAAAAAAACCTTAACCATTTAAGATTTACCAGTACAGTCCCTCCTCAGAAAATAAAATACAAAAGCTTTCTAGAGACTTCCTGTTTGAATTCCCCTGCCTGGCTGAAGGGCAGTATGGATGCATCAGAGAGGCAACACAGGGTATTATTGGAAGGTATTTGGCTGAGAAAAGGTCCAGGAAATTAAGAAAACTGTGAGAGATGAATATTAAAGAATGCAGTTTCATTTTGCTACATTTGAAATAAAATGTCTGATCAACTTCAGGTCTGTATTTGCAGAACATACTGTTGCATGATTTCTTCAACCTAATTTTCAAATACAATAAACCATGTAATAATCATGCTGGCTGAGTTCGGACTACCTACTAAATTAACGTGGTTTGCTAATTTTTCTCTCATTTTGTCATGCAAATAAAGGACACTGTATTGTTGGGAAATATTTTAGAAATACTTTTATAAGGTAGATCAAAAATACAGGAGCTCTGAACTATGAGGAGAACTTGGGTTATGAAGCACTTTATCATCAAAACTCCTGGAAACCCAATTAAGCAAGTTTGATTGTCAAGATCTCACTAATTTCTATCGCACATCTATGTGTACTTCCAGGATATACACTAGAAAAGGCTCTGTAAAAAGCCGAGTATCTGGTATCTTCTGAAAGCTAAAGTCTATAAAGGTAAAGGTTCTCCTCGCACATAAGTGCTAGTTGTTTCCTGCTCTAGGGGGCGGTGCTCCATTAAAAAGTTGAAGAGCCAGCACTATCCGAAGACGTCTCCATGGTCATGTGGCCAGCATGACTAAACGCCAAAGGCACACGGAACACTGTTACCTTCCCACCAAAGTGGTCCCTATTTTTCTACTTGCATTTTTACATGCTTTCAAATTGCTAGGTTGGCAGAAGCTGGGACACTCTGATACGCAGTTCTAGGGATTTGAACTGTTGAACTGCCAACCTTTCTGATCAACAAGCTCAGCATCTTAGCCACTGAGCTACCACGTCAATACTATATTCTAAAGAAGCATTAGATTGCAATGCACACACAGCCCTAAATGCAAAGTACGTGATTCCAGGTCAACAAACAGAACGTTGAAAAGTTTCTTCTAATCTTAAGGTGAATTTAGCCATACACTGAGCAAGGAAAAGGCTTTATGTATTCTGTAAATGTCCAAGATACAAAATAGTGTTTGTATCTGCCTCATCTAGTTATTAGATTAACCAATGCTGCTATCAGTGAAAAACAGCTCTTCAGACAACTTTTTTTTTTTTTGCCATTCCTTTTGTACCCACAATCCACTAGGAGGCAGTTTTGATGATGTGTTGAGTTCACTGAAAAGCTTTCCAGCCCTTTTCTTAACCCTTTTGGTTTTATTGGGGTTAATTGCCAAATAGGTCTGTTAATACATTAACACACTGCCATTTGCAGCACATAAAAAGCAAGACATTATTATTATAAGTTTGTCATCAAATACTGGAGGCTTGGTTTGGGAGAGGGGAACGGCAACGCATGCAGGCAACAGATTGTGCACTTCTGCCTAAGTAGCCAATTAATGATTGCCATTTACTGTATATTAGTGTTGCTGAATACAAAATATTTGGCAATCCTAATATAAATGCCGATTTGCAGTAAGATAAGTATTTTATATTATTGCTCTCAGAAAAAACGTGTTTCATTCACTGCTGTCGGATTTGAACAGCGTGATTCATTAGCTAGAAACTGCAAGATGAAATATTAATTTCATTTAACCCAATGTCAAGGTCCTAGATGACAATATATAATAAATTGTTATTCTATCATTGGGTTTTTACCCTCTCTCCCTCTCTCTCTCTCTCCCATGTTTGAATTCAAGACAGAATATTATTAACTTTCTTCTACTGAGCCTCTTCCACAAAGTTTATTCATTCCTCCTCCCACCCAAAATTGATGACTTCATCTATCACAATTCAAGTAGATCCAATGCTACAAAGATGCTAGTTAGGAAATAGCAAGCATAATACAACAGTGATCCCCAACCTTTTTTATGCCACGGCCCGGTACCGGCATCGGCTGGGCGCCGCGGCCCGGTACCG